TGATGTAATATGTGTCATCTTCTCTTTTGCATTAATTAAATATATAAAAGGCCCATTGCACGGTTAGGGATTTTGCACCATGCAGCAGAATGAATATTCTTGTTGCTAGTGGAGTACTTGCCAATCAGAAAAGCCAGCCAATGAATTAATTAATATTTTGGGTGATTCTTGTTTAATTTGGCCATGCTTCTGTCCAGGGCTTCTTAGCTTCTCAACCGCGTCGAGGAAAAGTCAGTTTGGGCAGTTGAAATGCCAACATCTTTTTTCTTTAGTTCTATCATTTTTCTGAAACGAACGTACAGGAAAGCTGCCTACTATGTTAAAATGAAGTGAAGCCTAGACTAAGCAATCTTTTTTTTTTCTTTCCCCTTTGGAGCCAAAGTTGAGAGGCAATTTGTAATTTGCTATTTGGTACAATGATCCTACTACATACCCATGATTAGTTGATTACTACTAGCTGAGTTTTCATATGAACTAGAGGAATATGAGGCGAAAGAAAAAGGTTGAAGTAGCCATGCTAGGCTAGGACCATCACATCCATATTTTGTGAGCCCTAGCTTGATCTAGAGTCGTCATTTTCCACCGGAGGCACTATAAAAACCTTCACCAAAAGAAAAAATATATATGAGTCCAAATGTGGAGCAAAAGCTTTTGACCTAAATATATAGCTCTACATGATTATAACTTATTATATGATTAATAGTAAGCACTCTTTTCTCCCCCAAAAAAATTATATCGCCTTGTGGTTTGGTAGCCATAGCACATAAAGTAATTATTTTTGCTCGTTGTGATGTCACATGCTTATTTTAATATGTTCATCTATTCATTTGCTTCATTTTGCAGTGCCAAGCATGAGATGCGTACTTTATTAGTGACATCTGCACTTGAGACTTAAAAACTGTTGTATCGCGGTCATATTTGATCCTCCTTTACTTTACAGTTATCAGCCCTGCTGCATCATATTTATTTTTCCTTTTCTTTTTGGTAATCAATAATGAATTTTTACTACTCTCGGGTGTAAGTACTCCAATCTTCAATAAACCACCTTTCATACTCATTTATCAATTTGAGTATGTTATATATACTTATTTTAAAATATTACAAATCTTACTATGTGAAAAAATCAAACAAGTACATATTTTCTTAGTATATTGCTTGTTATAATACAATCATATATAATAGTATATAAAATAAGTATAAACCTATATATACTTGCATGTATAATATGACTCCGTCGGACCTTATTATATCTTTTTTTTAGATATATATGTTTTTGAGCCAGTGCCGTGTTGTTACGACATGCATGTTAGCCTGTTAGGTGTTGCTTCCACGTTTGGCACAGTTACCCTACTAGTAGCTTATCTAGCAAATTTGCTGAAACGGCTGTGCACTAGGCATTATTCCGTGTGGCATGAAGTGAACCGTTGCTTTCTTGATACTACTGCTTGTCAGCATGATTTGTTTGATTTTGCTTAGCGCGGTTGGTACAATAAGGATCGCAAAATCATGCCGAAACGGCCACTTCGTCGGGGCATTAGCGCCTACGAGAAAGCCGTTGGCCCATCCGCTCCGATGGCGGTCCCGGCCCCGTACGTTGGTTATGGTTGGGACTTGGGAGTAGTTCCAAATCCCCTCACTTTCTTCGGAGGTCGCCATCATACATGCATCAAAACAGTGATGATCAAGGGCTGGCACAGTGCACGTATGTATATGTACCTGCACGTACGTCTCAGAGTCGTTGGACACTTGGACCAACAAATTTTATATGTACGAATTACTACAAGTAATAGACCTTCTCTTTTTTTTGTTCATTGGGAGTTTGGAGTTCAACACATGCATATTTTGTTATGTGTGGGTTCATTATACAGGTTAGTGTATACGCGTGCGAATATATATTATGTGCCCTTAGATAAAATTCTAAAGATGGTTATGTTTCGTAGAGCATAGAGGTAGAAAAAAAACAACTCTACTAAACCCCTATTTAAAAAAAAACATGTCCGCATTGGAGAGTTGAATCATTTTTTTTTTACTTTAGGAGATCTTTTCCCCATCCCTTTTAATAGTGATATACAAAAATAAGCCCAAGCCCCCTCAAACACAGGGGGAGATGCACCTGCTGCAATCCCAATTACAACAATTTCTCCTTCCTGTGTGCAGGACATGCCAACCCCTCACCATTTGTGCAACGTTCGCTGGCGGTTCACTGGTCACGGTGCTAGGCCGAGCCGCTGCCACCCAAAGCTTGGTTTGCGCAGAGATCTGCTCCAAGCTTGACTACCCGAGATGTGATTAGGCATGCTCCACATGCTTTAATTTGATTGGAGTTGGACAAGATGGAGTGAGACTATGCGGGTGCTTCTACTTGCGAGGGCATGGTACTAGAGAGTTAGGGCGTGTTTGGGATCCCACGCTCCATTCCACGCTTTTCAATTTTTCCACCACCCACGCGTTTTTAGCCAACGGTTTCAGCCTCCGTACGAACTGCTAGAAAAATGGTGGAGTTGTGAGAGATGCTGAAATTTGATGCAGTGAGAGATACTCCACAAACTCCAGTTTTTTGTGGAGCTGCTCCACGGTGGAGTTTGTGGAGCAAAGTTTGTGGAGCAGTCCCAAACACCCCCTTAGATTGGCTCACGCTCGCCCGAGTGACCTGTAGACCAGCGAGATCCATGACTACGTCAACCATGCCGTCTTGTTGCGCCGTCGTTGCTTGCTCCCTTATGCCGTAGGAGGACCGTGCACATCTTTGCTCGCACAAATCTTAACCGTGGCGGTAAAAAGATTAACCGAGGCGGTTGGGTCACCGTTAATCGTGGCCGTAACCGAGGCGGTTGCCCTGCCTGCCTTGGTTAATCAAATAAAAAAAAGAAAAAAAATCCATGGACATGACCGAGGAGCCCATCCACGGGCCCGCCGAGCCCATCCTCACATTGCTTCCTGCAGGACATGCAACCATTTGTGCGACATTCAGGCAGTTCAGCTCACCCGATCCAAGCCTTCCTACCTGAGCTGTGATGGAGCCGACGAAGAGGTGAAGGAGGAGGGCATGGTACTAGAGAGTTAGATTGGCTCACGCTCGCCCGAGTGACCTGTAGACCAGCGAGATCCATGACTACGTCAACCATGCCGTCTTTGCGCCTCGCGTCGTTGGATCCGCCTCCCCGACACCGGATCGGGACTCCCCGACGCCAAATCCAGCCTCATCGGCCCAGGATCCGCCCCGGGAGGAGGGTCCGCGCCCCCGCGCCGCTGCTCGCTTTGGAGAGGAGTGAGAGAGGGAGAGAGAGGAGTGAGAGAGGGAGAGGAGTGAAAGAGGGCGCCGCTCCGCTGCTCGCTCAGGGAGAGAGGGCGATGCGCGCCGAGCACCGTAGGGAGAGAGGGAGCGACGGGATTGAGGAGGGTGTGACTGAGTGAAACCCTAGTCACCGTATATATACTCAGGGATGATATCTGCTAGACCTGAAGGAACAAGAGTAGATACGAGCTCATCAAATCGGTGAACAATCAATGGAGGGGTGGGGGTGGATCTACATCTACGATGAGGGAGAGGGGAAATATAAGAAAACTTGGAGTGTAGGTAAAAAAGAAAAAATGACAAATGGGACAGTACTTAAGGTAATTAGGTATGACCACTTTTATTTCCGCTTATAATCGGATTTTTGATAAAAAAAAGTAAGAATCCCACCAAATGCTTCGTTTTTCCTAGGGTATGATGATTACCCCCTCGTCTCAAAATGTAGGACACGATTTGACATGATGTGGTCTTCAAAAAACATATTCTTACCCATAATTTCTCGTATAATATATAATTTATAGGATCAAAAGTTTAATCATCGGAAAGTATTTCTAAATACAAATCTAATGTAGTTACTTTTATAGTATAAACTTTTTATATGATTATGCTAATTGTTAGTCACAGATAACAATGTTTGAATGAAAATACGTGCAAACCTTATATTTCAGGATGGAGTGACCATAAGCAAAAACGATTAGGCCTATCGATGATATGCAAATGCCCAATAATAATCCTAAAACCAACTATTGCCTATTGGGACATTCCATTACCACTCTACTGAAGATTTTGTGAAGATGCTCTCTAAGGCAACAATATTTTCTCTCCAGCTTAAAAAAAATATGTTCTCTCCATGGTAAAAAAAACAAACAAACAATGCGTGCTCTTCCTCCCTCAGCATAAGGAACACTATTGAATCAACCAACCAAGTTTTGTAATGCCGGCACTTTTTTAAATATGTACGATGTTTAAGATAAACTGATCAGTACAAAATAGAATAGTTAACCTGTCCTAAATGGTTGAACGTTTCAAACGGGAGGGAAATTACACAACATTATACTTGTAATTATAATCGACCGTAGCACGTACTCCGTACTTGCATGACACAAGAATACAAGATCTAGAACATTCTTGACTTGTTGTCAGCCTGGATCCTGGTCCTGCCCCGTGTCCGTGGCTGACAAAACAAATAGGAGAGAGAAGAGACAGAAACGGCGATCGTTACGGGGCAGAGCCGCCCGCAAGCGTTCAAAATTTCAAATACTGACACGGCCGTAGCGTACGGCGTCGCGGACGCGATCGTTACGGGGAGTCCCGTCCCGTCCGGCCGTGACGCGGTCAACCCCTCCGCCGCGGGCCCCTCCTGGCAGCGCCTCGCGGAGGCCGTCCCGCCGATGCCCGGGCCCGCGTGTCATCGGCTGCGGAGGGTGGGTGGTGGTGTGGCCGGTGGGCGCGCCTTGGGGCCTACAGAAGAGGGTGGGGCCCGTGAGCACCACACAGCGACCCCTCACCTTCCTTCCATTCGACTCCACACTCCACTCCCACCCTCGCCTTTTTAGAGAGAGAAACCCCGGCTGCCCCAGCGAGCTAGAGAGAGAAACCAAGGCCAAGGAGCACCGCCCCCAGTCCGTCCCCAGCAGGAGAGGGAGGGAGAGAGAGAGAGAAGGCTGTGCGAAGGAAAGAAGAGGCGGTGGGAGAGGAGTGCGACATGGAGAGGCCGGCGCCGGTGAGGAAGTCCCACACGTCGACGGCGGACCTGCTGATCTGGCCGGAGGAGGCGCCGCAGGAGTCGCCCATCGGGGCCACGCCGCCGTCCAACTGCCGGCCGCACCAGGTGAGCGGGCCCCCCGGTTCCCCACGGGGCGCCCTGGGAGTACCCACTCTCCTCTGTCATTGTTAAGGGAGGAGGGGGTTCGCCCTGCCTGAACTTTTCTGTTCTCTGTTCGGTGCAGCCGTCGGAGGCGCTCAAGAAGGTGGTGTTCGGCGGGCAGGTGACGGAGGAGGAGGCCGAGAGCCTCAACAAGAGGTGAGTGTCCGGCCGTTTGCCCTGCCATATTCTCTTGCCGGATTGGTGGGATTTTGTGCTCTGTTCTTGTTGCGTTGCCTGATGACGAGCTTCTGGCCTTGGCGACTAGATCTCCCGAGATTTACGGTCACAACTTTGGGAAAGTGTTTTTTTTTTTTTTTTGCGCGTCGTTGTTGATCTGTGCAGCTGTGGGTAGAGAAATTCGTTGGATTTGAGGTTTCCTGAGATATGCGCGCCAGAGTCTTTTAACTCTGTTCTTTTCGAGTTTCTTTTTTCAGTTCTGCTCAATAGGCTCCGGAAAAGGAATTGCTAGTAGTATTACCGTAATGTGACTATGATTTAGCTGTTCATGTAATTGCCATCTCACCAACTACGTTGGAGTATTGAAAACTGACCCATAGCCTTCAAAATGCTTCCGTTAAGGTACGTTGCAAAACAGGTAGTTTCATTCAAGATCAATTGCACTGTTTAAACAACTAATCTGGCTTTTGTGCACAACTTATAAATTTGCGTTGATCACAAGGCTCCTGATTTGTTTATGTTTTGGCACGTTCTGCATATCATTGTAGTTTCATTGGTTATTCAGATTTCAGATTAGCACATGAAGGGAGCTGCGGTTCACCAAGCTGGTTCTTTTTTCCCTTCAGGAAACCATGCTCTGCTCCCAAGTGGAAGGAGATGACAGGAAGCGGCATATTTGCAGCTGGGAGCGAGGCTGAAGAAGATGAATCTGCCAATGCCTCTGCAATTCCCACCCGAACGGCTCCAAAGAATTATCAGGTACTGCTTTGCCATTTTTTAAAGGACTATGTTGGTTGATTTTTATTCTGTTTTGTTTAGGCTGTACCCCTGGCAACCCTTCTGTGTTGATACTTGATAGTATAGTTTTATTTTCAGATGCTGCACTAATTTGTTAGTTTTGTAACAAGATGAAGAATTTGATTTATGTTCTTGCTTTGCTATAAATTTTAAATGCCATTGATATAAGCTGCTGGTTTCTATGATCAAACTTGTTTAATGTTGTACCTCTTACCTCAGAAGTTGTTGGGATGTATCTTGTGGGGAGGGTTTGGGCAAGCATTATTGTTTGTATACATATGTAACATATTGGTTGGTGAGCTTTCCTTGTGATAGAACTGGACATTTTGAATTTTTTTTTTTAGCATCTAGAACTGGACATTTTGATTCATAAGTTGATCTGAACGAGAAATATTCAAGAACTTTGATTGATAGACAAACGAGACTTAGGTACTATTTACTGTAGACACCTTTTGTTTCTTAAGATGTCAATAAACAACAAACCTTGATTAAACTCTAAACATATATACTACATCAAGGTTCATGCTTTTCCCCTGTATAACTAGGTATTTGCACTGAATTTTTCTGCAGACTGCTCAGCAACTCTAATATTTTTGCATATACTAATACACTATTCACAGCATACTCACTTTAGATGTTTTCTAACCCATAATCATCTTAATGTTGGCTTCGAAGTCAAAGGGTGAATATCCTTCGGGTTGTTATAGATTTAACTGCATGCGTAGCTGGAACACAGTTACACGGACTAATCCTACTGCATTTTCTCAATTACAGGCAATTAGTACTATAAGCCACATCTCATTTGCTGAGGAAGAAAGCATTTCTCCAAAGAAGCCGACTTCGATAGCAGAGGTGGCAAAGCAGCGCGAGCTAAGCGGCACGCTTCTGAGCGAGGATGGCAGCAAGATGAAGAGGCAGATATCCGACCTGAAATCCAAGGAACTTAGCAGCCACGACATCTTTGCTCCTCCGGAAGATCCACGGCCACGCAACTCCGAGAACGGCTCGACCTCGCAGACCCCGGGCAAAAATGCATATGTCCTGACCTCTGAACTCACCTTGTCCTAATATAAACTCAGTTACAACAGCTCCAGTGTTGCTCACTGTTGGTTTTCGTTCTCACAACAGGTAAGCAATATCAAGTTCGGCGAGGCCGACGAGGACAGCGTGGTGAAGACTGCGAAGAAGATCCCCACCAAGAAATTCACTGACCTCGCGGGCAATATCTTCAAGGGTGACGAGACCCCTGGGACGGCAGAGAAGCACCTGAGCACGGCGAAGCTGAAGGAGATGACCGGCAGCGACATCTTCGCGGATGGGAAGGCCCCCTCCCGGGACTACCTGGGAGGGATCCGCAAGCCGCCCGGCGGGGAGAGCAGCATTGCACTGGTTTAACGGCAGCAGCTGCAGCAACAACAACCTGATGGACATAGCAGCCCCTACATCATTCGTCTCTTCCTCCTCGCCGTCGCCGTCTCTAGGAGTGAGTCTTTTTGTTTTTTTATCCTTTCCTTGGAGGACTGATCGATTGGAACCCCCCGGTTTGCTTTCCTGTTTCCCGTGACTTGCGCCAGGTTTTCGTTGTTAATCCCCTCTGATGGTGGTGTTGTGTGGGTATGACAACAACGATGGTTATCTCTAATTTAACATTGATTTGGCTTGCCTCTTGTTGGTTGGTTGGCCGGTCGGTCATGGTGGGCCGTGCCGTACCTGATGCAACAACAACCCAGCGGTGCATTAGCATTAGCCTGTTCGCTTGGTGGTTTTCGGGCTGATGCTGGTTTATTGTGAGAGAAGAACATTGTTGGGCTGATAAGTCCTGGCTGAAACCATGAAGCGAACCAGATGTTTCAGCTGCTGCAGGAGGATTTCCGTGACCGGATGTTTCAGCTGCTGCAGGAGGATGACGATGACGACCACGACGACAATCATCCCCTCCTTAGCGCTAATGCTGCCTTTTCCTAGTCCCTGATTTCTTTCAGTTGCATGAAGCGTCTCTGTTGGTAAGCCAGGAAGATGGAGATGGTCCCTCGATTGCTGCCGGGGGTCAGTGGCACCTAATCCCCATCTGATCGCTGCTACGAGAAAAAGGAAAAAGAAAAAAAAACATGCCATGCTTCGTGGTCATGTTCCATTGGCGCTATTGGTGGGCGCAAGCCTCAAGGGTTTCTGTTGCTCTAGCCCTGATGCTGACCACGCTAATGATAGTGGTGGCCATGCATGCAGCCATAGGATTCCCTGCCTTGCTTCTGAGTTCTGAGCAAGGCTCCTGCTCTGGCCGTCCCCGGGGCCGGTGGCGACCACCGGGGATTATTCCCGTCTATCTATCGCTGCCATGGCAGGCGACTGGATCTCGTCGAGTCATTTAGGCCTATTTTAGTTTCTAATTCTAAAATTTACTCTTTATCTCATCGAATATTTACACACATGCATGGCGTATTAAATATAGACTAAAAAATAACTAATTATACAGTTTGCGACTAATTTGCGAGACAAATATTTTAAATCTAATTAGTCCATGATTTGATAATGTGATGCTACAGTAACACATATGCTAATGTTAGATAAATTAGACTTAATAAATTCGTCTCACAGATTACTAACGATTCTGTAATTTGTTTTTTTACTAGTATCTGAACACCCCATGCGATACACATATGACATCTCAAACTTTACGCATTAGATTTAAACCAGGCCTTTGCGTGAAATGCTGTAGAGCCTTGTAGCTGCAGCATCCACTGTTGCTGATGCCATGGGAGTATAGATGGCCAACGGGCGTCTTGCTTACGACGTCGTGATGTGGGGGTCTTGCCTCGACGGGTCGTGTCAGTGCCGTCTTGCGTGCCTCCTCCACCGTGAGCTTCGCGTTCCCCTACGGCCCATGGCACGGTCCGTGGGCCATCCATCTGACCGTCGTGGTCTTGTCAGCTGGGCACGACCATTTTTCCTCGCGCGTGCGTACCACGCCAACCGGCAAACCAAAAACATCTCATTTTCACCAGATTTTCACCGAATGTTTGAACCACTTTTTCATTTTCACCAGTTTTGAACAAGATTCCATCATTTTCATCACAATTTTCATAAAAGCTCACAGATTCATCCACAGATTCACATTCACCACAGTACCACACAATCACAAATCACAACACAAGAGAAAAGACAAAGAGACAATGTTACATGAAAATGATGATCAAAAGAAGCTGTTTTATGCAATGCTGCCTTATTAAAAACCTTTCTAGGTAAAACTCACCCTTGTGAGAAACCCTAAAAAGGAAAAAAGAGTGCAGCCAGCTCGAAGAGTCAAAGTCTTAGTAGTAGTGTCTTATTACAAAAGCCAACCAAAGTGGCAAAGTCCTAGTGACTTAGTGAGTCCACTCCACAGTCCACACTCCACAATCCACTCTCATCTCACACTCACTCACTCAGTCACAGCAAAAGACTAAAAGTACCTGCAAAATTGTACAGAATTCATGTCAATATGTCATTCTTTTGCCACCAGTATGATCTAAACAGGAAAGAGGAAACAGGAAAGAGTCACTACCTCTCCAGTTCTCCTTCTTCATCAGTCATCACTATCCAGTACTAGCAGTACCGTCGCTGCCGCTGCCTTCGCCTTCTTCGTCCAGGAAGAGGTTTTTGAATGCCTCCTCCAGGTCCACGTCCTTAGGTGCATGTTGTTCTCTTCTTACTCCTTGCTCCGAGTCCTTTATGCAGGTGAGCATCTCCACATGCTCAGGCAACAAGCGCCGCCACATGGCAAGCCGGCCTTCTTCAGTATCCTACGACAAGACAAGCTAAAACAAGACTCTAAGAGACAGAGATATAGAAAAAGCATATGATATCTCGAGCCATAATAGATATGATTGGATAGGTTAGCTTGTGGTCACACTACCAGAGCAGTATGTCAAAGGATTCCTCATAACATGTGACAGGGTCACTGTCCAAGTAAGCTGAGAGCTCACTAACACCACTCTAGCCGGAGTAGATGAAGATGAGAGGAATACGCCCGGGGATGCACCAGGGCCTCCAAAGATCCTTCCCTATGCCTACTTTCTCTTACTGTAATGAGTCAAGGTCAAAACCCTTTGAGACCTAGTCACACCACCAAATTTCTCGCTCATACTTGTTGAACAATCAGTACATTTTATCTTTCACATCAAAGATAATATGAACTATAAGTGGATCCAGTATGTTGAGCAAGTAGTTCAAGCACATTAAAGAATCCTTTCATCTTAGCTCTAGGATCAAGAATGAATGCATATGAATAAAACAGTGGAATTTTCTCCCAATATTTAAGAAATTTAAGCTTCATAGGATAAGCAATCATTCTAAAATTCTGATCTCTTTCAGCTTTATACAAATGTTCAGCAATGTCAAGAATATGGTGCAAAACAAGTGGAGCTGTGGGATAATAAACACCAGACAGAACAACAGTAGAATCATAAAAGAGTTCCAGGAACACCATTATCTATTCAGCAACATACCAATGTTGTGCAGTCAACAATTCTGAACCATAATTAGAGTTAGGCCACACAGAAAAGACTTCCTTGTATGGCAGCAAATGTTTAAGCATTAAATAGGTGGAATTCCATCTAACATCCATATCCAAGCCAAACTTTCTAGGTCTTATACCCTGAGCAATACAGTAATTTTTGAACAATGCAATTCTTTGATTAGAGAAATTCAAAAAGTTTATTACAGTTCTGAAATCTTCAGTAAAAGGTTTCAATCTCTTTAAGTCAGATTTAACAATCAAATTAATGATATGACAGGCACAACGATGATGCACAAGCAAATACTTAACCTTATGAGGATCATCACGTGTAGGTGCAGGATAAGAACCCAAGTAACCAAAGAAGACAGGTTGCAAGATATCATAAGCCTTAGAATTAGATGAAGCATTATCTAGAGTGACAACAAAGATCTTATCAATCAAACCAAACTCCTCAACCACACCAGCTATTTTTTCAGCAATGTTTTCACCAGAATGTGACACCTCAATTAGCCTAAAACCAACAACCTTTTTCTGCAACTCCCAATCAGCACTAACATAATGAACAACAACAGAAATATAGTCCTCCTTAGCATTACCAGACCAAATATCAAATGTCAAAGAAACAGATGAGCAAGCAGGCAACAATGAATTCATAAGCAAAGAACGTTGATCAGCAAACATTTTGCCCATATCTCTAGTAGTGGTTTGCCTAGAAACCTTTTCAAATCTAGGGTTATGAGCACGCTTAATATAATCCTCCCAGGCCTGTGTCTCACCTATGCCTAATGGAAGGTTCAGCCTAGCAATCAACCGGCACAACTCAGTACGAGCAACAGTAGGTCATACACCCAGTTATGCAAACCATCAGCATTCAGAGCAAGCCTAGACTGGACCCTCTTATCATTATCATGTTTTGCCTTACATGATTTCTAGTGCCATTTCAAATGACCAGTGCCAGCAGCAGATCTAGCAGAATACCTCTTACCACACATTTTACAGATGGCAGCAACTCTTATTTTACCTTCCTTAATCTCAGTGAAATCCTCCCAAACAGGAGATATGAGCTTACCAGTACCACCAGTCGATGAGGTACCATGAGTGTCGGTCGAGGCTGCCACCCCACCGTCGCCGTCGCCGGCATTGAGATCAATCGGATGGGTGCCATCACCGAGATCGATGCTGAACTGCCCGCGGGCATCCTCACCGATGTCGTCGTCGTCCTCGATTTCCAGCTCCTCCTCGGGCTCGGGGTGCTCGCCATCGGCTAGGTGGGAATAGACATCCACCACCACCGGCATGGTGACCCCAGTCGAGGAAGGGCCAGACGGCTGGCCCTGGCCCTGAGTCCCCTGACCTCCAGCTCCAACACTGTCCCTCAACGGTGGACGCTGGCGCTTTGGCGCTGGCGGCCTAGCCATGGCGCCTCCAGAGGAGGAAGACGCGGCGTTAGGCACCACCAACCTACGAAGAACAGAGGATAAAATAGAAGAATAGGGGTGAGTCAGTGAGTGAGTGAAAGATGGATAGACACAACACAGATCTAAGGTTAGGGTTAGGGTTAACCCTAACCTGACGCCACCGGAGCCTAGTGCCGGAGAAGAGGCCAGGGAGGCAGCCAGAGGAGGAGACAAACAATAGTTACAACGACGGCGGAAGGACAGACAGGCACGACGAACTCACATGGTACACCGGAGGAGGGGGGAAGAGGGGATAGGAGGGAGGAGATGGTTAGCGAACTCAGGTCGAGGTGGACGAGCGGCGACGAGGTCACCGGAGCAGGGCCGGCGAGCTCAAGGCGAGCGGCGGCGAGCTCCAGGCGGCGGATCGAGAGCGAGTGAGACGAGACGACTACGACTGCGAGCGACGACAGTGGAGTGGGATTAGGGTTAGGGATCGGGGG